CCCCCCACACTCAGTCACAGCAGGTGACTGTCTCTCACTGATCCTGGTCCTGATTGAGGTGCTTTGAAGAAAGGACGTTCTTCTACCCTACTCTCACTAAGTGCTGCTCTTAATCATCAGAGGTCTCTTTCTAATATTGTACAGCAATAATTATTTGGAACAGTTCTGAAATAAACATTGCAGATGTATAAGACAACAATAAAGCTGATCAAGGCACATCTTAACAAATATATTAATGTGTTCCTCAAAATACTGTTTACATTTTCTACAAGAAAAAAGTACAAAAAATTCAGATACAGGGCTTTGAAGTAAATTTAAATTACCCCTCAGTAGTAAATGGTTATTGTTTATTGTGCAATGTAAATTTCATGTTTAAGTCATATAAAACTTATGTCCCATATTGTGACTTATTCATGAAAGTACTCCCTTTCATATTTTTGTCATACAAAACAAAGTTTATATTAAAGCGCTTCCATTTTTTCCCTTGTGTAAAGACCACATTGAACTCACCTTTGACAAAAGTCTGTTTCCATCATTGTCGAGAATAAAAACTGCTTTAACTGTGTAGAGGGACGGTTCCTGCAGCGATAAACAGAAAGAACATTGAAAATATTTTAGCTTCGCTGAGTCATCTTGGGGAAACATCTTGAACATAATAGCATAGCTTCAGTCACATCCGTTCCTCTCATACCTGGATAACACTTAAAAGAGCATTGCAGCAGCAGCCTCTTTTAAATACTCTCTCATCTACTTACACACACTGAAGCTGCCCAGTCCAACCAGTTTCTACACTTTATGCTGCAGTTTATTCAGTGTTTTAATCATTGTTGTTTATCCTGGTTTGTATTACAGTTTTCCAGTTCTGGGAATTATCACATATTTCTACTTAATACATTTTCCATTCTCCTGCATCCACATCTAGACAGCTATCTGTCCATCCCTGCGATGATTTTTCAGACCCGGGACAAAGTTCTGTTATGCACTGACTAGCACAGATTCACAGTCAGAGTGTATCACAGAACTTAGACCAGACACTTAGCTCATCCAAAGTCCAGTATTCCAGGCTCACATAACCAGAGTCCTAAAGCTGTAGATGGCTCAGTCTAGCCTTCATTTGATCAAACGTGTTTCTTGCTATGTTGATGCTGACTGAACTTTAAGCGATGATTAAACATACACGGACATACTCCAACATACTGTAGTTATAGCATATAGCATTTGTAGGTAAACACTACATAACCAATGACAAGTACTGCAAGTCTTTGACTTTAATTTGCCATGTAACGAGGTCATTCTTAATACTATTTTTTACTCCTTTCTTTTCCTTTCTCCATACACCCTGGAAGCAGGTGAAGATGCAGCAGAAATACCTACTCTTAACAACATTCTGATTAGCAAAGTGCACGTGAGGTGTATGCTGACAAATGACTGAAGGAAAGCTAGCAGCTAGCTCAAGTCACAAGGCAAGGCCATAAAAATAAAGACTATTATTTGCTACCAAGTGCAGAAGGAGTTCTCAATATTTTTCCAGGAAACCAGAAACTCTAAAGTATAAAAAGAATATCTTTGATCATGGTTATGTCAACCTATAGCCCAATACATATTATATTAAAAAATGTTGCATCAAATAGTTTTCATTGGGTCTTCAGAACATGTTTTAGCCGGTAAAGATGCCACTGAATTATTAATTAGTTACTAGGAGACAAATGTACCACTGTCCAATTAAACAAATATGAGTTTCAGGCATGAGAACAGATCCTATATGCTTATGTCTCTGTTCTTAGCTAGTTTGCTAATGGCTACAAGCACGAGTACATTCAGCAGTCACCTAGTAAGTTTTATTAAGTGCTGAAGGGTCCAGGTGCAATATGTCAGCCATTATTAAGTATTGTGCAGTCTATGTTTAGATAAACAGCAAACTTAAACTCATTAACAGATATCAAGCTGAAGAATCATATTTTGGAAAGAGATTTGAATACTGAAACTTCTGGTGCAATCTGCCTCTGACCCTGTCTTTCACATCCACATTGCATAACATTATGATCACTGACTGGTGATATGAATAACACTGATTAACTCTTCATCATGGCCTCTGTTCCACCAGAGAGTCTGGCAAGGGCCAAATTGTGGTGGCTAGATGACTGTCAGAGCATCTCCAATACTGCAGCTCTTTCTTGGATTTTCCCAGTGTATAGTTTTCAATATGTATCAAAAGTAGGGATGGGTATCGAAAACTGGTTCTTGTTGAAAACCGGTTCCCACTGTTTCAATTCCTTGGAATTTGTTTGCCATTTTTGCAAACGATTCCCTTATCGATTCCAGTCGCCCCGAATGATGTCACCACGTTGCGGAGCGTCATTTACCTGGCAGGAAACGGCGCCTAAGCGGCTTAAACGCTCAAAAGTTTGGTTATACTTTATGAGAACGGATGACAACAGGGCAACTTGCAATACTTGCAAAGTAGATATTTCATTTAAGGGAGGAAACACTACGAATATGCAAAAGCATTTGCTCATAAAACACACGATGACCTTAAATGAATGTCGTGTTTTTAATTCCGCTCCGGACTCGTGAATCTCAACCCAGCAGCAGCGGTAACGTTTGCACATCTTCTCCCGTTAATGCGGCAGGTAAATAATCAACAACAGTGCATATTATGTTAGCGCGATCCGCCTTATTACAAAACCTGCTATTACTGTGCATTTAGGTGACCATGATGAGAGAGACAGACAGAGTCTGGCTGGCTCAGATGCTGGCAGTTCTCGCTGCAGTCTACAGGTAGCGTCTCCTTTCAGGCCAGGATAGACGAATGTCACCGAGCAGTGTGGTAAAAGGCTTGCACCTATTTGCCACAGCAGATGCCCCGATTTTCGGTAAGTGAATGTATTTAATTGTAGGCAGGGACATTACTGGATATTCTTGTGTAATTGCTACAGAATAATTTATGTTATACTTTGTTATTCCTACAGAAAAATATTTATTTTATTATTTTACAGTTTTTTTTTCCCCGGGGACCCTGTGACACCCCATTGAAGAGCCATAGGCTGGATCTCTTAAGATCTCACTGTTGGGTTTGTAAGGCCATGCTACTCCTAAATTTCTATCTTGTTCAAAGGGAAGATATAAAACAAAGTTCTAAGCTAATCGACTTTAGTGTTCTCCTTTTTTTAAAAAGAATCAATAAGAGAATTGATAAAGAATCGAATCGTTAAACAGAATCGGAATCGTGAAAATCTTATCAATACCCATCCCTAATCAAAAGTGGTCCAAGGAAGGAACAGTGGTGAACCAACGTCATGGGTGGCCAAGGCTCATTGATGCACATGGGGAATGAAGGCTGGTCTGTGTGGTCGGATTCAAGAGACAAGCTGTTGTAGCTCAAACTGCTGAAAAATGTAATGCAGATTCCGATAGAAAGGCTTCAGAATACACAGTTGGAGCATCATGGCCGCAGAACACTCAGGATGCCATGCTGACCCCTATTCACCGTGGAATGTGGCAACAATTGGAATGTGAATATCAGAATTGGACCTTTGAGCGATGGATGAAGGTAGCTTGGTCTGCCAAATCTTTGAATTTTTTTCACATCAAGTGGATGGCATGTATGTCACTTACCTGAAGAACACCTGGAACCAAGATGCACTATGGGAAGAAGACAAGCTGGCAAAGGCAGTGTGATGCTTTGTTCAATGTTCTATTGGGTTCTGCCATTCATGTGGATGTTACTTTGACAAATACTGTCTCCCTAAGTATCCGGTCTTTAAGTGATGACGTATCAACCCTGCTTCTGGGTCCAAACTACTCTGCATTTATTAAGGCTGTTGTGTTTTTAACATGTTTTAATGTTTTGTATCTTGTTCTATTTAATCTGAACAAGCCCCTAAAAAAAAGCAGTGATCACTGTCAGCCTCTGTTTTTATTACCACTATACATTTTAAAGCTCAGTTTTTAAAACCTTATGATGTAACTACAGCCCAGCCCATGCAACAGTAAATTAATGACTAACCTCGTATTGTGGATGGGTTATCTCAGTTCTCCTGACTGAAGTTTGGTCTATTTACAGCATCTTGCCATGCGATTGCATGGTAGGAACACAATTTGCAAAATAAAGGATATTTTTAGCTGATGCTGTAATAAAGGAAATGCTAAATGTGGCTCATTTTAAAGTCAAACATTGATTTTAATAAAAAAATGAACTGTACTTTATCAATGACCTCTTTGCTGTTTGGTACGGAGCCCCTCTGATGACATGGTCCAAAATATAAATAAATTGTGGCCACAAAATACTACTTCATGCCCTTGAAATAGTATAACGTGCCCACGAAATACTTATTTGTGGCCACAAAATACTATTTCGAGGGCACGAAACAGGTATAACGCACGCACGAAATGCTAATTTGTGGGCACGAATTGAGTATAACGTGGCAACGAATTATGCGTTTGTGGCAACAAAATAGATAACGTGCGCACATCATATTGATACAATTCCTGGACAGCTGCGTAGAGACATAAGCATAAGAGTAGGCTAAACCTATACACCATGGACAGAGACAGTATGATTGAGTTTTATTTTAGGCTGGGAATGAGCTACAAATGCATTTTGAAAATCCTGGCATTGCAAGGAACCATTATTACGGAGAGACATTTAAACAGGATATTAAGATACGATAACCTTTATTAGTCCCACACGTGGGAAATTTGTTTTGTCACAGCAGGAAGTGGACAGTGCAAAAGTTATATAGCAATTATTATTATTGAGAGCCCAGTTGCTTTACAGACGTAAGTACGACCTGGACGCCGGGATAGATTTTATTGCCAACCAACTGCAAGGGCCTGGGAAGGATCACGGTTATCGGTCAAGTGTTTTGTGCCCACAAATTAGCATTTTGTGCGCACGTTATACCCATTTCGTGCCCACGAAATAGTATTTTGTGGCCACAATTTATTTATTTTTTGGACCATGTCATCAGAGGGGCTCCATAGTTTGGTGATCTATTATGTTTCTTTTTTGCTGAAGGGTTGTCGGATGTTCAATACTGATTATAAATTTTACCCCTGTGGCTGATACTTTTATTGTCCTCTTAATTTAATTGTTCTGGTACACTGTTATAATGTTAAACTTTTGAAAATATTTTGTGGCTCATCTACACCTTTTGGACTACAATGTCAGTCTCAAATCTCTGAGATCAGTTTTGAGCTGCAAAACTTGCGCTTTGTGTGGAAGCACAGTTAGCATGAACAAATAAACGGGGTTTAGTGATTTATCATTGTAATAGATTAGTCTCCTCTTGCTAACCACCTTGGCCAACATGTTGAGAAGATAACATGAGTTATTAATAACTCCTTTAGTACATTGACAAGCAAAGCTCTAATGATGATGGAGATGGAGAAGCAACAGCAGCTCTCACCATGTCTGGGCCAGTAAATTGGGCTAGCTAACCAAGTTTAGCATCTATGTGAAATGAATTTGTTGCCTGAATATTTCACTTGACCTTTTTTTTGATTAATATTTTTAATCCCCTGTGTAGATATTGAGAGTTAACCATGTCCCCCAGTGTTTTAAATGTGCAACTTATAGTGGGGTTTTTTCTGAAGGATCAGTTGTTTTAAATGACTCCACTTAATAACAGTGATCCAAAAGAAAAGAACCAGAAAAGGCCAGATTAAAAACAGATCATGTAAATGTAACTTTCATTTCACAGACATGTAATAGTAAATAGGTGGTGTAACCCTATTATTAAGATGAAAATGCATGAGAAAGGAGCAAGACACACACAAGCAAGAAGGGGCAGAGATGAAACCAGGGAGGCAGGAAAAAGAAAGAATGAGTCTGAGAAAGACGCATAATCAAAAATCTCAACGGAAGTGAAAGAGCAAGATGGTGAGAAGAAGTAAGAGAAAAGTAAAAGAATTACTCAGATAATTTACATTAGCTAGACGTAAATCAAATTATACAGCTGGCATTGTAAGAATCATACGCTGACGATGCAGTTCTGAGTATTATCAGAATAATGTACTTATATTACTTTATTTAGGATGTCAATTTAGAATTGTAGTTACAGTTACATTTATCCAAAAGTATTTGGATAAATATCCATCAGTGCATGGATGGGGATGCAGTAGGCCAACATCTATACCAGTAACATTTGGGCAGTAACCAGTGGCATCTGTAGTATTTTAAAGAGTTGCATTTTTACATGACCTACCTTATACACGAGATACATGTTTTTATATTTGACTTTTGCTATTACTTTTCCATTGCTCACTTTTAGTTGTAAATCAGCCAGTTAATTGTAGAAGATTCTTACTTTAAACATCAATATCAATATAAACCACGATCTCTGAACATTTAGCCAGTGGAAAATGGTTGTAACACAACTAAAAATAGTACACTGATATCAATAAACACATTATCCCTGCTTTCTGTCCTATATATGAATGTATTCCTCTTATAAACATGTAAGCAGCAATTTGGTGCTGTGGCTGTTCCAGCCAATTTAGAGCTGAAAGAAAGGAATGGAAAATGTGAATCTTTCACTTAGATTAAGTTACTTTGTTGTAGTACACACGGTGATTACTTGAGTAGCAAAGCCACAATGTAAAAATACTCAACACTCACAGACTACTTACACAGAAACTACTGACTAGAAAAGTGTAAATAGATAAGTATATTGAAAGTAACAGCCATTATATTATATAATATTCATTCATTATCAAGTAGATTTCTCCTGTTATAGATATTCGAGTTGGGGCTGTCGGGACAATAAAGGATTTTGTATGTAAAAAATGCCAAAGTTCTACAGTAACATGCAGTAAAATGCAAAGTTTCTTTAAAATACTTTAGTAAAATTACATAAGAAAGCTACTTTTTGCCTTTGCTGCATATTGTTCAACAATATATAACAAAGCAAAACATTGTGTAGGAGTATCACGAGTTTTGTATGCAAAATGATGCAATTTACGGTCCTTTATAAGGAAAACGATGATAAGCAGGCTAAGATCATACTTTTAAGAGCCGAGAAAGAGTAAACCAAGAAGAAAGAATTAGGACAGATAGAGGTATTCTGGAGAAGCACGGATGAGAGAGAAAGAGAAACTTACACTCACACACGCAGAGAGAGAGAGAGGGCGAGAGGGAGTGAATAAATGGTGCGCAGGGCAAAAGAGGAGCGAGCGAGCGAGAGAGAGAACAGTGGACGTGGCACCTGCTCTGGTCTACACGTCAGTCCACATATGCTCAACACACGCAGGCATTTAAATACGCAGACCGGCTTTAACCATACCGCTTGTTCCATTAAA